CCCTGGAACATTATCAGTTGTCTCATTTTCCTGTTTTTTTGATGAGGCACTGGGCTGTTTTCCCTGGTGGGTGCAGTCAGTCATGACCAACCCAGGTTTTTCCTTAGGAATATTGTTGAATTCTCTCAGGGGCCAGTTTCTGAAGCCTTGCTTCAGACTGTAGAGACAACTGCTGTTCCAGGCTGGCTGCCCCTGCATTGGGCATAAGGAAGCCTCTTTGTGCCTGCAGGCTGTCTTAGCTGGTGACATTTCTACCCATCACCCCACACATACAACTGGGGTCACCAGGGGACTTGGCCAACCCCGTGGATGGCTTTCTTCAGATCTGTCCCCATTTCTGGAGAAATATTCCAGTGTGAATACCAGGCTGGAGGGGGAATATTTGCCAATTCTCTTTACTCCTGTATCTCAGTGATATTAAAACTCACCAGAACTAGAGTGAAAAGGAAGCCGATACACCCAGGCTAACGTTTCAGTTCTAATATTGCTTTGGGGAAGTTATAAAAATGACATCTCTGAGGCTCTGTTTCCTTATATGGTAAATAGGAGTAATAAGACTAATGTCTCCATCACTTTTTCAGCAACAATAGCTGTGGGATCTCAGCCAAGTGTGCAGAGGGCTGAAGGGTGGATTTGGGGTATTGGGGACCCAGGAGGGTGCCACCATCACGGGTTAAATATAGCAGGAGGTGGTAATTTAATGAGAGAAATAAAAAAAGGTATTTCCCCATTCTGGGTGGAAGTGAGTACAGAGAAAGTATTTTGGATATCAATCAATATACATGTTCTTACTCGTTAATTTATGAATTATAATAAACACATAGTTGTCTGTCATAATATCTTTTTGGTACGAGCCTTCCTCCTTAAAGGGTGATAACTTTGACAGGTTTTTGGGTTTTTCTCTTGCCACTCTTTCTTCTCTCCCTCCCCCCCCTCCCTTCACCCTGAACTTGAACTGCAACTCCAGGGTAGAATTCCAATAAGGAGCTGGCCCTTTTAACTTGGGAGTTTATTTTATGGTTGGCAGGTGATTGTGTTAACATGAAATAAACCCCTAGGATAGTAAATAATGTGATTGTTGAAGATTAGTGTTGAAATGAAGGCAACCATACTCTTGTAAAAATTTAACCTTAGCCAGGAAGTGCCATTAACTTTGGTTAACATTCTTGTTAGTCTTGCTGTTTCCTATACACTTAGAAGCAGGCCCAGAGATCAGGAATTTAATTTGAAACCCGATTCTCTTTTGTTCGCAATGAATCACATACATTTGGAAAGGAAGAGCATTATAACAACATTCCGATTTTAGCGAGTCTCCCTTTACCAAAAAAACAAATGGAAAAAAGATGCAGCAGTTTTAAGGTTCTCTTTCCTCCACACATCCTGGACATTTACTTCCAGAGAAAGAAATGGCTTCGTTATTTTATCCCCCACCAAAAAAGTTCTAATTTGTAATCTGATAAAACTCTTCCAAATTATTCATTTTGAACAACTAAAACCTATTGCAGCCAAAATCTGGGTTTTAATGGTACATTGGAATAGCCAACATATTTCATTAAATTAAAGATGATTCCAGAGATGTTAAAATGCCAAAAAAAATAATAATATGTCTTCAACTTGGTGAAATACATCACAAGAGTTTTCCTTTTTAAATTATTAGTAAATAAAATGTAGGGCACTTTCTTACCTCCTCCTAAAAGGGCTGTTGAACATACATATTCTTTTTCAATGAAAAGAAATTTCTCTTTTAGAAAAAAATTAAGAATTTTATTAAATATTTTTTTCAATCCCCAAATCAGAGTTGGGACTCACTCTGAAATCACTTCAGAGTTATTTTTTACTTTCTCAGTTCAAAGCTCATGTGATTCTTGCTATACTAAGACATTTTTTCCAAGTTAAGGCTTTTAAATGTGGATTATATTATTTTAAAAGGAAGCTGCTAAATTTAAAAATATATAATTTATTAAGAATTATATAATATCATGTGTAATTATTACAATTAAGGAAACATATTGCAGAAAGTTTGGGGAGATGATAACATTTTACTAAATTTGTTTTACTATATGTAAAATATAGTAAAACTATATTAAGTATATCAATTAATCACTAGATTTACACACTGGGTATTATTCTCTTATAAATTGGAATTATATTTTAATAGGTTTTCATTCTCTTCATTCCTCCAACTGTTATTATTTGTACTTGAATGATCTTATGTGTCTCTATTTTTTTACAGATTACTATCTTGGATGCAAAACGGAGCATGAACATTGGGATATTTCTTAAGCAATTTAAGAAGTAAGATTTTTGCACACAGTTGAAACTTGAGCATCAGAGTCTGTGGGTGTGAGCTGAAATTCAGATTCTAACATGAGGGAAAATCATTCCTCAGGCCTTCAAATCCTTCTCAGGCACATGGCTTTGATGAGTCCAGCACTTTATGCTGTTTTCCTCATGAAAACCCAATCTAGTGGCTTGAAATAGGGAGAATTACCCCAGGATGCCATTCAAGCCTGGTATGTCAGGGAGTTTATAAATTCATCTGCAGTGTTGCCCCTTGAGTGGAGGTTGGGCTGGTGAGTCAAGCAGTGGTGAAGTCCAGGGTGCAAAGGCGAGGGCTCTACTGAAGTTTCATGAGGCTGAAGGGGATGGTTTTCTTCTCCCAAAAGGAGACTCCAGTGGTCGTTGCCGCTCTGACTTTTCTGGGATGCCTGGGGTGGGGGTGGGGGGGGCGGTTCTGGGTGAAGTGGCCTCTGAGTGGTGTTTCAGGATCTCCACTTTTCCTGGCCGTGGTCTGTGGTGATCCCTGACACACAACTGCCTGTTAGACAGGGAAGAAGGCGGGATGGAAAGGAGGGTGGAGGTGATTTGTTTTAATTTCCACGGGCTTGTGTTTCTTTGGCACGTGAATCTGATTAATTGTCTTTTCAAGGTCTCCTCAGTCCATTGTAGAAGATATTCATCAAGGAAAGAGTGAGCATTATGGATCAGAGACATTGCGAGAATTTCTTAAACTGTTGCCAGAGTCAGAGGAGGTAAGGAATTTGCCGTGTGAGTTTTAGATGTTAGGAGTGATGATAAAAGCTTAATATTTGTAGGAATGTCAAAAATCACATGGGAAGGGAACTCTCCTACCCGGAATTAGTTTTCTCACATAAAATTAAGAAGTGACCCAGTAGAAAGAGCATGGGTTATGGGGTTAGAGAACCTAGGTTTAAATTAGAGCTCTTCCCTTAATTGAGAAACTTGGGCAACTTTCCTAACTCCCATGAACTTTAGTTTTCTCACCTGTAAAGTGAGGCTATTATGCTACCTCATTGGATAGTGAAGATAATGAAACGGTAGTTATGCATCTGACATGGTACTTGGCACGTGGAAGCTCAATACATTTTAATTCCATTTCCCATCATCTGGCGGATGATCTTTGCCGAGGGTGTACGTGGGTTGTTTTGTAATGTGTATACTTAAAAAAAAGTAAAGACAAAGTAAGCCACTTTAGGATAAAGATGCTCTAAAATTTGGGAAGGTAGGTAAATGTTAATGAACGTTGTCTATATAATTGATGGAAAGTTGGAGATTGCTGTGATAGCAACGTAGTACCGCAATATAAAGTTACTGATTTTTTTTTTTTTTTTGGACTGAATTCACTGACTTTTTGAATGGTTAGGAGCTTGATAGAAAAGAAAACAGAAAAATAATTTTGTAAAACCTCCCAAAATTTTAATATTGTCTTTTATTTCTGAAGAAGTGACCTTTGAAAAAAAATCTAAAAGAAATACATGAATATCTGTGCTTGTAAACATGTGAATAATAATAGTCTTATAAAGTAAAAGGTATGTTACCCTTTTACACATACTGCAGTTCCTCCCTCTCCCATCCCACTCCTCTTCCCACATAGCATAGGTGGAACTTGACTTTAGTACCATTAATAACAATAAGATAAACGTATTTATACTTTTTACATCAGTGATAAACTCACAATGCCAAATTGAGAGTCTTATTGAGTAACTAGACATTCTAGAAATACATCTAATAATCTCAGCCTCTCCCTATCCTGGGTTTTCTGTTTTAAAGTTAAGTATAATTTATCTTAGCCAAGATTAATTAATAGGATTTATTAATGTTAATAAAAGGGTCTTAAAATATTGAGAAAAAGGAAGATTAAATCATCACTTACCCATTCTTGTTTGCTGAACACTCAAATTTTTCTTTTATGTGGAAAATGGGAGTTCCCAAATTTTAAAATGAGGATGAATATGGTTGAATTAATTTGGGTTTTAAACAAGATTTAGTTTTTCTCAATATCTTAATCCTGCTTGGGCTTTTTTCATGACTCCTCCTCAGCACTGCTCTGGTACCCACTCCTAACTGACCTTTACCATTTTTAAGTGAGGGTCAGATTTGATTGCACAAGTGAAAGTGCTCTGAAAAGCTCTAAATTTCTCACTAAACAGAAGTCAGGCATAAGGGAGGATGCTGTCTTCACGCCACGAAGATGTGGGAGATTACATACGGCTTTCTTAATATCTTCTAATTTAAAAATCGAAGGTGATTCGGGAATGCAAAGGCTGTGGAAGACTAAGGGATTTTTCAAAGAAGCAACGTAGCTGTCAAACTGCTCATGTTTTAAAAAGCTGGTTTTTTGAGTTGTGTGTGGGATCTAATTGACAGGGAGGAAAGTTAAGGGCAAGATGAATAAAACCCACCCAAGGCTTTCCTGAGGCCCCAGGCGCTCTCTCACCCTCAGACTGTTAGCTAACCTCTGGCCTGGCCGTGGAATCCTGCCTTCCCAGCCCCTGAGCCAGGCCCAGCTGTTTCTCCCACCACCCTCCTGCTGCAGGGTCATCCTCCGTCTGAATATCTGACCAGCTTGGTCACTCTCCCCCTTGTTTACATTACTGACTCTTGGCTTCAGCTCACCACACCCTCCAAACTCAACTGGGAGCTTCCTTCAGCAGGAACACCCTGACAGTCCTGCTGGGTGTCATTTGGCATCCCTCCCTAATGCACTCCGGGGGATCTGTGCTGGCAGCGGGAGGCCCAGTGAAAGCCAAAGCCACCTCATGACCCATGCCCGCTGCAAGGTCAGATTAGCTTTAGTCGTGAGAGCTCTGTGGCCTCTGGCACCACCCAGGCCCAGGGCCAGCCCTAGAGTCTTTGGAGGAGGGTGGAGGATGGAGATGAGGCCAAGGAGGAGACAGGGCCAAGTGAGAGAGGTTTAGGAATGTGGCAGAAATATGCTAATAAGTGCATAAGTGTACGAGTAACCGCATGTTGCTGAGCCTGTGGCATAACGTTCTATGCTCATTTTTAGCACAAGAAGGGACTACATGTTTGTTGAGTGCCACTGTGTCCCAGGCACTGGACAGGGCAGCATTCAACCAAGCGAGATCCTGCATTTCAAGTGCGTGGCCCAGTGTCCGGCACATAGACAGTCAGTAAATCATTGCTGTAATGATTTAGTGTACCTTTTTCACTTAATCCTCACAGCGATGTAAGATAGTCTTCATTTTACCAGTGAGAAACTGAGGCTCGCATGGGTTGGATAGCACGTGTCCAGTGCCACATGATGGACAGGCCCCGGAGGAAGGTGGACTTGAACCCTGATTCATCTGACCCCAGAGCAGTTCCTTGGGCTGCACTAGGAGGAAGGAAGGAAGGAAGGAAGGAAGGGCAGAGGTAGTCAGTAGTTTCTCAGAGGTCTCCTGGCCTTTTCATCACCTGTGCTGTCACACAGTACGGGTGTGAGTGTCACCCAAATAACACCGCGATCTTATCAGCAGGCGGAAAAATATGAACGGAAAGAGCTCTTTTCTCCTCTGCATTCTCAGCTGACAAGCCAACCCAAGGTTAATTTGTGTTCAGGATTCCTCTGCCCTTTTGCCACAAATCTTTTGTCTGGCATGTTTGTTCATCTTGCCTGAAACTCGTGGTTAAAACTTGCAGAGGAAGAAGGTAGACCTGGACGTGAGAGAACTGGAGGGTTGTGCTCTCTGTCAGGTATCCCTGTGCCCTGAGAGGAGGCTGGAGTAGGAGCCAGGTGGGCCCGGGAAGGACCCCCACCCAGCTGGCAAGGCCCTCCCTCGGCTGGGGCGGATACCCTGTCATCGCCTCAGTGTTGGGGGTGCAGGACTGGAAGGTGATAGGAAAGTTCTGCCCTCTCTGGGCGCAGATTGAATGGCCTCCTCTGACACTATCACCTCATTTCTACCTTTTTGTTTACTCTGCCCCTGGGAGGGAAGTGCCAGTGGGGGAGCTCCAGAATCTTCTGTTGGTCTGTGGGTGGGAAATCCTGCTCTTTTAAGGCCATGGGAGTGGAATTAGACGGGATGAAGGAGGCCTGCCCCTGGGAATGTGTGAGTCTCAAGGAGCATTCTATTTGCTATGAGGACAGCCGGGTCATAATGAGAGTCACTTGGCTCAGCCAACAGTTCTGTTTGCTATGAGGACAGCACCGTGTAGCCGGGTCATAATGAGAGTCACTTGGCTCAGCCAACAGCATCGTGCCTAATGAAGTTTGATAAATGCTTTTTGATGGTGATGAGAATGCATATTAATTATAGGGTTGGTTCACCTCTCTTTTTCTTACCTCCCTGCCACTGTGAAGGTACCGTAATCCCGCTTAATGAACATAAATCCCGTTTTGGAATGGAGTTAAGAACTGTATACAGGGCATTTAAATCAAATACTATCTTTTCATCACCGTTCTCTTGAAATCTAAACATTGTTAGCTCGTTACATAAGTGAAGGAGATTAGTCTTTGTTCAGTTACAGTTTAGCACATGTCTAATAGAAATATCGACGGAGATGACTTAGCATGACCTGTTCTTAGGCTTTGGACAGAAAACTGCTGTTATTTGCACGTGCTGCATATGAGGTCTCACTCTGCCCTGCCCATATATAGTGAATTGTGAGACCAGTTCGGAAGGGATCAGAATTCTTACCATAGCTTTCTCAGCTCAGAAACGAGCCTCTGATTTGGGCTTAGCTAAACCAGAGATTCCATCTGCCCTTTCATTTAGTAAGGCCAAAAAATTGTAAAAATCACGTTGGGGCCCTAAAGGTAGGGGAAATAGTGCCATTCTATAAATGGCAATTTTTCTGTCTGTTGGAAGAAAAAGATGTGATCTTAAGGACCAGACTCAATTCTAGGATGTTCATCTACACTGTCACATTTTGTATCTTCAGGGAATTGGTGTAAGTATTTCAGTTTGTGGATCTTTGCAAATACTCCCTCTGTGTTTTTGCACATCACTCCCTAATTTTTAAAGAGGCTTAAGAATCATGTTATTTTTATGGGCAGTCAACACAATCCAGGAGGTGGAAGAGAGAAAGCTTTATGAAGACTAATAAAAAGTGGTGCGTGCTCCCTGGCTACCATTAGCTGCAAAGATGGGCTGACTATGTCTGATGGCCCTACGTACCGTCAAGTGTTTTTGTTGGAAGACCCAGTGGATGGAGAAGGGCTATTGCCACCAGATTGGTCCAGTTTTCTGTGTGGGGAAAGCATGACTTGCTCTCTGGTGTAGAGGGGAACTTCCTTTTCCCCTCCATCCGCACTTGCCAAGTTTTTTGGCTACATTCCTATGTCCGAACTCTTAGTTCTCTCCTACATTTGAAAGAATATTTGTGTGTTTAATAACTTCCAGCTTAATTTAAAAAAATTTTTTTATTGATTTCTAAGAGGGAAAAGGAGAGAGAGAGAGAGAGAGAGAGAGAGATAGAAACATCAATGATGAGAGAGAATCATTGATCGGCTCGCTCCCCCATGCCCCACACTGGGGATCGAGCTCGCAAACTGGGCTTGTGCCCTGACCAGGAATTGAACCGTGACCTCCTGGTTCATAGGTTGGTCGATGCTCAACCACTGAGCCCTGCCGGCCGGGCATAGTTTGATTTTTTACAAGAAAATGCATGTTCATTGTAGACAATTTAGAAAATAAAAATAAGCAGCAGAAGAAAATATAATCATATACATACGGGATCCCATTGTGCATATGCTTTTATTACCTGATTCTTTCATAGAGGGATGTCTTAACATTGATCTTTCTGTTAAGCCATTTTCCTTTATTTCTTTCTGCTGGAGAGTAAGAGTGGACTCACCTAACATACAATAGTCCCTTCCTATAAAGTGAATATATGTGTAGGGGACTTGACCACAGAAAGATCTGCCTTAGACCTTACCCAGTCTGAGTATGTTATATCCAAAAGACTCAAAAGTAATAAGACTGTTTTCACCTATGACTTAAGGACTGTATTATAAGGAATACTCCATCTCTTCTTTCTTCTCCCAAGCAGTGATCTCCCTCCCAGGTTATAACTTAGAGAAACATTTCACCCTCAGAACGGCCCCTTTTCAGTCCCCTTTTGGTAACCTTCCTGAGGATTCCGCTCTCTGGCTTGCATGGGATTGTTTACACCCACAGAAGTGACCCGGCTCCTCTCTTTCTAATTTGTGTTGTTTGTTTGGTCTTTCTGCTTTCAAAAAGGCAAGTGGTAGATGTGATGATTTCCCTTTCTGTCTTTTCTCAGGTCTCCGCTTTTACTAGTTTGAAGGTAGCACCGAAATTCTATTTGCTTGCAGGGATTCTAAGATGCAATTTAAAATCATGTTACATTTTCATCACAAGTTATGTTTTTCTCTACCCCCTTTTCCCATTTGTCTTTTAGATAAAGAAATTAAAAACATTTAATGGCGATGTGTCCAAGCTGTCCCTGGCAGACTCCTTTCTGCACTGCTTAATTCAGGTGCCAAAGTAAGGACCACCGATCACTGTTCTTTACCGAGGAAGGTTTTTAAACGCATGACCTCAGAACTACAGTTTGACTTTTTTCTTTTCAGCTATTCGCTTCGGATTGAAGCCATGGTGCTAAAGAAGGAGTTTTTACCTTCTTGCTCTTCTCTCTACACGGATATAAGAATTCTAAGAATGGCTATACAAGGTGAGTAAATGCATGATGCTTCGTATAATTAGTTTTTATTTATTTGGGTAGCAGTTTATTTTAAAAAATGATTCGGTTGAAATTAGAAATGCAAAGTCCTATTTCTGATACACCCTAAAAAGGGAAATCGGTGTGACCAGGGATGGCATTGAAGGTTTATCTACAGTTACTTCCCCCCTAATTAATTAATTGACTAATCAATTGATTACTTAATCAGCACATTATCCTCCCGTAAGAGAAGCTTTTTTTCATCTCATGCTTCGGAGTCAGCCTCGCTGCTTGCAGCTCACTCTTGTTCCTCTTGTAGGTTTGCTTGCTGTGTGTCGGTGGTGTGTGTGCCTTTAAATGACTGAGATACCTTCAGTTGTTAAACCAGTTTGCAAACTGAGTTTAATCAGAAGGTGCGCAAGCCCTGGGCCAGCCCAGCCCATCTCTCCTCCCATTCTCTGGCCTCTGTTGGTGTCTAGGACCCTGCTTTCCAGAAGCAGACCCCCACCCCCACCACCACCCCCACCCCTTTCCTCCTGACTCCTCCCAGGAATGAATGTCCACGCAGCTCTTTGGTCAGGGTGTCTCTGCCCCCACCGCCTCCCCTCCAGACTCCAACCACTGGTTGACTAACTATTTTGAGAGGGGCCAGTGGCCCATATCCATGTCTTTGAACAACTTGCTACATTCTTGCTTACCCAGCTTGGATAGACTCCTCAGAGCTGCTCTGATGTCTCATTCCATATGGGTGGGAGCTTGGCTTTGGCCTTGGCTGACCCTGGGATTGCAGGCCCCGCCCATTTGCGTTTGCCTCCTTTTCCTCTCCGGGCAGTGTCCTGCCCTCCCTGACCCTCACATCTTCCAGCACCATCAGCGCCCCTGACTCCCTCTTGCTCATTTTCTGGATTTCATTATCGTGCAGAACTGTTTATTCCTGTTTGGTTTTCCCGTTTAGTTGCTCCGACCTGGGCTTGAAATAATGTTTTGCTCTTCAGCCCATCATAGTTTCTTCATTTAGAGAGGAGATTAAGAATGAAGATTTTTTTCTTCTTTCAACCTAGAGTCCTTTTAAAATTTCTTCCTATACCAAGGCTATTGCAGCAACTCTAACAGGGTTGTTGCTCCTGTTCAAAGAGAGATGGGAGAACATGTTTTCGTATTGAGCAGGCAAATTTGTGGGCACGGCGCAAACGTTTCTTATCTGGTTACCCTTCAGAAACTGGCCTCCTTAGATAACACAATGTAGGCAGTGATCCAGCTGTAATTTTTGGAAAGTAATACCAGACTTAATGGAGAATATTAACTTAAAAATACCATAGGTGACATTTTATTCTCTGTGTATACTGTCATTTTAATCATCAAACTTTTTTAGCCTTCCAAATACATCAACACTTTTGAATAGTGTTTTTTTGTGTAGGTGCGTGTATAATAGATCCTGTGATTAAAGAGCTAGTTTACCAATATATTCCAACGATAAGTTTCTTTTTAAGTCCTTAAGCCAATCCAAGTGAAATGTCTAGTTTTGAATAAAATAGGAAGAGTCTCTCGGTGCCTGGCCCCTAAGGGTTGATGCTTTGCACCTTATTTACATGTCATACCAGCTTGTTTACTTCCTATCTCCTCATAGCTCATCGACTAAGCAAAATGTTGCTCGCTATTAGTTTTCACATTTCATCAATATAGTCTCAAAGGCTAGTGGATATAAATGAAAAAAAGAAACATTGCCGAGAGAAAATGTATCCCTGTAACACAGGGATAAATTTATAATTGAACTGTTTTATGATGTGTAAGTATTACTTATATTTGATTCCCAGTTCACCACCAGGATGTGGATTGCCAGTGGCAAATGCTGCATTAGATACACCGTAGGATGTGCTGCTTTCTTTAATTTCACAGTCTTCGTATGCAGTTCAGGGTCAGAGCTTGCTCCCAACACCCTTGAACTTGGATGTGGTGGCTGGTAGCTGTCTCTTCTCCGTTTCAGCTGGAGGCTTCTCTAAGTCACTGTGTGTGTTCTTCTTGACAGAGCTGATGTCATGTGAGGAGCTGCATTCCATATTACACTTGGTGCTACAGGCAGGAAATATCATGAATGCAGTAAGTAAAATTCAAAAAAAAATAAAATGTTGTGTTTCCAACTGTATTGATCTGTCTAAACATATGGTTTTTTCTTTTGATTTGTCTTCTTTAGGGAGGGTATGCCGGCAATGCAGTAGGATTTAAGCTGTCTTCTTTGCTCAAACTGGCAGACACCAAAGCAAACAAGCCTGGGATGAACCTCCTGCACTTCGTTGCACAGGTATGGAAGCGGTTGTCATGGAGAGAGAATGTGGTGGATCCCCATGCTGGCTGTGACGGTTTTCCCAGGTCTAAGGTGGCGTCAGATTCAGGAAAGGGCATGGTGGGTCCCAAGAAGGTTCTCTGTGCAGAAGCACTGTCTGCAAGTACGTGAGCTGAGCTGTGCCACGGTCCTCGGACTGGAGGGGAGGGCAGGGGTCTGGGGAGTGAGGCGAAGGGTTGATGAAGACAGATAATGAAGGATTTGGATCCTAAAGCTGAGAAATGTGGATTGCTTGCTTTAGCAGTGGGGAGCCAACTGAGGTGTGTGTGCAGCATGGCTTTTTGTCTTGTTGTGAGGAAAGTGTGGAGGATGGGTTGGAGTGGAGCGAGAGCTAGAACGAGGGGTACCTCTTGGTGGCAGTTGGCACGAATTCATTGTTTGGAAGAGTTGAGAATCAGAGTGATGGCCACAGGGATGGGTGTTGAAACATTTCTAATGTTGAATTGACTAGATTTTTGACCAGTTATGTGTAAACCGTGAGAGAGTCAGAGCAATTACAAAGATCACTTCCATCTTTTTCCTTAGTGAAGTGTGGGTTAGTGTGCCTTGCCGTGAGCCCAGGGATTAGACTCAGAACCCTGCCCATCTCTTCCATTTTTAAAAATATTGACTTAGAGAGAGGAAGGGAGAAAGAGAAACACTGGATGTGAGGGAGAAACATCGATCGGTGGCCTCCTGCACACACCCTGACCGGGGATTGAACCTACAACCTGGGTATGTGCCCTGACCGGGAATCGAACCCCCGGGTGCATGGGAGGACGCTCCAACCAACTGAGCCATCACTTCCATTTTTGACTGGGTCTATGTGATGCCAAAGGAACTAGTTACAAAGTGAAAAATCAGCCCAGCACAATTATCTCTTTGTTGTTAAATTATCTCAAGTAACGAATTGTTCCGGTTTGTCTTTCCTTCATTGCAAGGCCTTGTTGTTTTGACAGCAAATACAGCGACGTAGCTTTAGCCTAGGGAGGAAGCTGTCATGTGATTATTTCAAGTGTGAGCTTCAGATGGGGCAGAACTGAGAGAGTTGGCAGAACTGCAAGAGTTTGATTTGTCATTTATGAGCTGTAATCCCTCAGACAAGTCATTTACTATTTTTTAAAAATATATTTTTATTGATTTCGGAGAGGAAGGGAGAGAGAGAGAGACATCAATGATGAGAGAGAACCATTGATTAGCTGCCTCCTGCACACCCCACACTGGGGATTGAGCCTGCAACCCAGGCATGTGACCAGGAACCGAACCATGACCTCCTCGTTCATAGGTGGATGCCCAACCACTTAGTTATTTAAACCTAAGACCCTGGATCTCTTCATCCAATGATGGGGATAGTGATACCTCAAAACCAGGTAACCGTGAGGGCTCACAGAGGTAATTCCATATAGTAAGCTCTCAATTATTACTATAGTCTTCCGAAGGTGGAGGCCATGTTGACCTTAGGACTAATATAAAAGCTAATTTGCAGGACATTAAAACCAGAAAATAGGTTCCTCCTCCCAGGTGTCTTGCTGGGAGGGACTCTCTGGCAGCCCTTTTAGACCCGTGTATCCAGGTGTGTCCTGTGTCCCTGCCCATGTGGGGAAGTTTCCCGAGTTGTTCATTGGTCCCTTTATACCTGTCTTCCTCGTACTCTGTGAACAGGTGAAGAATCCAGAGTCTCCATGGCTTGGGCACCTTCTGATTAAACTCAGGTTGCAAACTGGTTTAACTGCTGAAGGTATCTCGGTCATTCAAAGGCACACTCACAGGTATGGGTGGTATTTAAACAGGACATATTGGATTCTCTGAGAGGCGATGGGCCCTGCTAAGGCGCCACCTCCTTCCCCTGAGTTTTCAGGCACATTAGTTATGTTTCATGTCAGCATCAGTTGCTCTGGGAAGTTAAATGTATGGTGAGAGTCCTGGCATTCTGGTAGATCTTGCTAGGAACATCGGAGCTACTGTCTCAGTGAATGGCTTTGAATGCATCAAGGGTAAAAAACGGGAACAGTGATTTTAAGGTTCCTTTAAGCCTGGGCAAATGATTTCCTTCCAGTTCCATCTTTATAGTGAGACCAAATTCTGGTTTTGTTTCAGGAAGCCCAAAAGAACGACGCCATTCTTCTAAACTTTTCTGAAAAATTATATCATGTTCAGGAGGCTGCTAGGTAAGCAAGAAAGACTGAAAGTGAATTGTGAAGATTTAAGGCTTGTGTGTTTTTTCAACTACCTTCTTATGAAAACTGATGACTGTTTTATAACTTCTGGATTCAAGTGTGAACTTTTAAAAGTTTTGTCTTGTTGAACTTTCAGACCTTCTTTTCATTTGCTTACAGAGGTGTGTGTGTGTGTACACCTTTGGAATTTGGGGGTTTTGAAAAACTAATCCTTAGTTTTTTAATCTAAAAAAGACCTATTGCCATCTATTCTAATGAATATCATCAGTGTAAAAAAAACAGGGATTAAGAACTTCAACTCCCTCCACACCCAAAAGATAGAGTTCAAACAACACAGCCTATTACCTTGGGAGCTGGTATATTGTCAGTCACACTGGCAGGGCCATCCATCACTGTTTTCGTGGTAGACTCTAACATGGTACATTTATTTTCTATTACATTAGAAGTTGGAACCATACCAAGGGCTGTGAAAGGATTTTGTCTTAAATTAGTCACTCGACTTTACAGAGAAAGTATCTACCAAGCATGGAGCTCCATTTCTAACACTTTAATTTGCTTCTGATCCTAATATAGTTGTGTGTTTTAATGTAGCTCTAATCCGTGTCTACACGCTAGCTCGAGTTCTGTGTTGTCAAATTTATAATACACATCCCTGCATCAAAGCAGTAAATGTTCAGAAACTAGCTTTTCAGGGGAGAAAAAAGGTCTGATTTGTATTATTTGTTGATTTCCGTGGTGTAAATACTACTATCATAGCTGATTTCAAGCTACCAATGTGGTGTTACTAAAGCACAGTTGGGAAGTGATGCCTACCCAGGTCACCTCTTGTAATCTGGCTTCAGCCCACCCCTTCATCCGCCTCGTTCACGGGTTTATTTGCAATAGTCTTTATTGCATAGACTCATTATCCGAGTGACTATATCCAGTTAGGACGCGAACCACATGCATAAGCACATGAACCACAGCTCTGCAGGCCAAGCCCTGTCGTTGGCCAGTGTCTCTGTGATGACTGTGAACATCTAGCCACAGATGACATCTTTCCCAAAGTGGGATGATCAGTCAGTCCAAAGGGGTGAACAGTTCATAGTTCATGTTTACAGATCGCCAGATTATTCCCCCAAAAGAATGAGCATCTTTCTTATAAGATATAAACTGTTTTCGTTTTGAATTACTTAAAGGAATCTGTATGGGAATATTTATTCCCCCGACTGGTCTAGAAATGTTACTAAGAGAGAAACAGAGAAATAACCATTACTTTTTTTTTTTTTTAAATCTTCACCCAAGGATATGTTGTTGTTGTTTTAATTGATTTTAGAGAGAGGAAGGGATTGAGAGAGAGAAACACCGTTCGGTTGCCTCCCATATGTGCCCTGACTGGGGTTCGAACCCACAACCTAGGAATGTGCCCTGACCAGGAATTGAACCCACAGCCTTTTGGTGTATGGGATGACACTCCAACCAATTGAGCCACCCACCTAGGGCAACCAGTACAGTTTTAAACTGATATTTCAGAATTAGATGGGGAAGTTTAGCTAGCTATTGTCTTAGAAAACACCTATTCAGTAAGGTCTGTTTATTTGAAGTGGAAGGTGAAGTACAAACAGATCATAGATGACCACTGAAGGCAGAAGACTTTATTGTAAAAAACAAACAAACAAACAAAAAACCTGACAATGGCAGCACGAAAGCATCCTAATATATGAATTTGCTAATTGAACTCCCCCTGGATTTTAAGGGTCATCTGTGTTCACTTTACCGGGTGACAGAAACATCATTTATCCCCTACCGATCTGGATTTGATATACAGTAAATAACAAAAGCCTTTGCATGATGGTTAGTTTTCTGTAAAATAGAGCGCTTTCCCTGTCTGTCAGTGGCCAGCCCCATGATGTCCGCTCAGTATCTCCATATTACCCTTAATGTCAGGATTATCAGCACACACTGCCTTGCTGTTCATGAGTTAGATTAGAACTTCTGTATTTGTGTTTAGTGGCCAGAGGAAAATGCACCTGAGTCCTGCTAGTTTTTAGTTTTCCAATGCTTATTGCATAAAGCTGTTCAGACAAGCCCCATGGTTTTAGTTATCTCACCAGCAGGAACAGTTACGTATATTACAGCCTTTTCTCTTTGAACCAGTGTGTGTCTTTAGGAAAGAATTTCCTCTTTAAAAACAACATAAGCAACAACATAAGCAGACCGACAGCTGTCAGAGGGCAGGGGAGTGGGGGGATTGGATGAAAGGTGAAGGGATTAGCCAAAGAACATGTATGCACAACCCATAGACACAGATAACAGTGTGATGATGACCAGAGGGCAGAAGGGTGGGACTGGGTAGAGGTGGGGAAAGCGGGTGGGCGGGGGGGAGGGGTGATGGGGACATCTGTAAGAGTGTCAACGATAAAAATTAAGTAATAAGTCAAAAACATAGGAGGAAACTCTAAATACAGGGGTAGGTTAATGTATTCTCAATGGTTCCCTCCCCTTCTATTTGATTTGTTTCTACAAATTTCTTTAATGTCTTCGCTTAACAGCACATAGTCGGACCCTTATAACTGCTTCTGCATTCAAACTGATACGTGTCTGTAAGAGTGTCAACGATAAAAATTAAGTAATAAGTCAAAAACATAGGAGGAAACTCTAAATACAGGGGTAGGTTAATGTATTCGCAATGGTTCCCTCCCCTTCTATTTGATTTGTTTCTACAAATTTCTTTAATGTCTTCGCTTAACAGCACATAGTCGGACCCTTATAACTGCTTCTGCATTCAAACTGATACGTGATAGTCAATTTGTGTTGCTTTTTTCCTTTACATTCAGTGTTTTGTATTAGCTTCAGGTGTGTCTGCCCTTCTGTTTCTAAGATTGACCAGCAGTTAGACTGGTTTGATGTACCCACATGACACATGGCTTCCCCGTTGCCAACTGCCCGCTGTCCCCTTTCTTCTCCCAGGTTGTCTCTGGATAACACGGAGGCAGAACTGCACTCGCTGTCTGTCAGGACGCGGTCGCTGAAGGAAAACATCCGGCGGGATGATGAGCTCCGTCAGCAGATGGAAGAGTTCCTTCAGGTCTGTGGGTGAAGCAAGTCAGTGCCTCTCATTTCGTCGTCCAGCAGCTCCCCGGGGCGGGGTGCGTGTGCATGGGCGTGTTCAGGGAAGCAACAGGTTCCCATTCATATTTCCTCCCAGTCAGTAAAGGGAGCGTCTTAGTTCAGTGCCCATTCTTGGCTGGATTGTTTTTGAGCAGAAGATACTGAATGTGGCCTAAACTGCCTCAGGTAATTGTTAGGGAGCGGGCCTCTGTGTATCACTGCTCGATGTGAAATGGTATCAGGTGAGGGTGCTCACTTACCCTGGCAACTCAAGTTGCGGTTGTAAATCGTGGTTTTGGGGTTCCCGACTCCCAGTCAAACTGTGAGTAACAGAACCGCAAAGTTCCACAAAAATCGTAAAGATACCTGAGAACCTGGACTGTTGTCCCTTCGCTTGTGTTTACTGAAGGCACAGGCTGCGTTTTGGCATGTTTTACGACGAGAGCAGGAGAACACGGTCGCTGTGCCTATCACCACCCGAAATCCATCAGCCCAAACAGGGTGTGTCAGGAGCGGCTCGGAATAACAACAGAAAACAGCAGAGTGGACCTGTTTGTGACAGCTCACTGTGACTCACTCATCACACAGTCTGACATACTTCGTTTATCGTCCTCATTAAAAGGAAAGAGTGGCACCTTTTCATGCTCCCAATCTTCAGGGAAGTGGTGTGCTGCCTTAAATGTCAGTGCTTTAGATTCGCGAGGTGGAATCCAGGTGCCAGGGCTGCCCTTGGCACCGGGAAGGAACACTGTGCTCCGGAGGCTTGTTCCAAGCGAAGGCTTTACCCGTGTGCGCGTAATGAAGCTGCAAATATGATGCGCCTCAGCTTCCATCTGCAAACATTTGATTTTGTTTGGCTCGGTTGGGATTTTATTTTTTATTATTAAACACGGGTTCTATGCTTTCTTTGAAATATAAGCAGGCTCTGATTTTCCCCTTACAAGTACACAGATTTTTCTCAAAGTGTAAGAACAAACCAAACAGCAGCACAGAGACACCTGCCAGTGGGTAGGAAAACGCTCAGCAGTGAGCACATTCAGACAACTGAAGCCAATCCCGAAGGTCAAGGAGAAGGCCCACGTGCAGGACATGAGAATTCCGGTTGCCTCGTTCCTCAGTTCTTGTATTAAACATTAGTGTTGTATGCCAAATAGCCAGACAGAAAGGTCTTCCATGAAAAGCAGCTCTTTCTTAACTGCACCTCTGTCTTAAGGCAAAGTTGTTTTAACTCTAAACGCTTCTTCCTGGCAGTCATTTTTAGCTCTGTAAATAAAAATGTTCCACCCAGCTATTTATTTTTTTTTAATTCAATTTTTTTAAATGGGGGGGGGGTACAATTTTTGAGGGTAGCTTAGGGTCAGGCCAGCAAGTAATTCAATTTTTTTAAATGGCGGGGGGGGGGGTTACAATTTTTGAGGGTAGCTTAGGGTCAGGCCAGCAAGGGCTTGGAATGCCAGTCTGAAAACTTCGGCCTTTTGTGCTCTAAGCCGTGGGGAGTCGCTGGAGATTTTGGAGCAGAAAAAAATGACAGGACCACTGTTTTGAAGATCTCTTTAGGACTTTTGACCTTTTGGGTGTGAAACACCAAGTAAACTGGTTTGGAACTTGGATCCAGAGCAGACAAGTTAGAGATGGAAAGTTGAATTCGCTACACTGCTAACCTGTTGTCATTCACGTTTTGCCAGTGTGGCTTTGGACTCTTTTGTTCCCGGCCCTGATCATGTGGGCAGGGTTCAGGAAATAATGACTCTGAGCGTGGTGACTTGTCAGACCCATATTTGGACTATTTCACTTTCCCAAGTCCTGAGGGTGACTGCAGTGCACTGACGTCGTTCCTTCCCCGTGTCCTCTCAGTCCCCTCACACTCCAAGGATGAGGCCTATGAGGCGGAGTAAATGCCTGTGTAGATTCTTGTCAAGAGTCCTGTTCAACTACAGTTGAGCTGTTCTTGGCTGGAATCCATCTTCCCTTCTGTGGAAGAATGACAGGCAGGGGTATATCCTTTCGTTAATACCCTTCTCTCCATAGAGAAAAATACACCATGAATGCACACACTGCCTTGGGCTACTGGCTCAGATGGTTACTTTCTCTGGTATTTGGTCTCCTAAATAGTTTTGGTTTCCTGCATCCTCTTGAGTGTGTTTGGTGTAGGAAGAGGGCTTTTCAGGGGGAGAGTATGTTGGAGTGAGTGAGAGGGGACATGTCTTCTCAGAACTTGTCTCTAGGTTCTGTAGCTCCAAGCAGGTCCAAGCAGGGCTTCCACTCCTCAAGGGAGGGCAGCCTGTATCTTCACCATTTCCCAGGCCTGTCCCCCACGCGAAGAAGTCTCCAAATACGTCTTTATGAAAACATGATACGCGTGATTTCATAAAGTAATAACTCCGTACGTCCCTTCTTCATGTAAGCCTTGTAACCCAGTGGAAAAGAAAGCCCATGAGGCTTCATGTGGTCCCTGTACTCAGTGCCCAGGGGGCTGGCTCCTCGGACCACTCTGCTTCCTCATTTCAGCTCAACCTTTGTTGTCCCTGAGCCCCTTGGCCCCAGCAGATCCCTTCCTGAAAGGGTTGGAGTTCATTGGAGGAAAGCAAGCTGCTTTCCCTCCCACTTCTTGGTTGAGGCAGGAGCCTGAACCTGTAGGGGCCCTGGAGACTTTGTCCTAGAAGAATTCGGAGACCGTGGTGAAGTAAAGAGGATGGATTTGTACAGGCAGAAATTCCTAACCGTGGCTACCTATCTCAATTTCCTGGGGAAGTTTTCATAAGATATGCAGGCTGGGTCCACCCCACAGCTACTCAGTGGCATGGACTGTAGACTCAGCACCCCAGCTGATGTAGATGAGCACCCCTGGCTAGGAAGCCCTTGCTGGGACCTTGGTCCAGGCACGAGGGCTTCAGTCCTGAGGGGTGACCCTGACCCTGACATGGCTCATTTGGAATTAAGTTTAAACTCCCTGCCAACAGGACAACTCATCAATAGAACAGTGACTTCTAGGACCCTAAAGTAAACCTGGCCACTATAACACCCAGTTTTAAGAGAAGGAAGAACATACAGGATATGAATATTAATGTTTATATAAATAATAAAATCAAGTGCACACCTATGTCACTTTTTCAGTGACATTAAAGGTGAACGTTTCGTTGGTGGCATTCTACTGGTGAAGGCCCTTCCATCTCTTCTGTTGCTCCCAGGCCTCACTCAGGAGCTCACCTTGCTTCCCTGAAGGTTTTGTTTGGGTTGAATTATTGTCCTTTTGGCTCTGAGCACATTGGACTCGCAATAAGCCTTCCCTTTTCCGAGACCTGAAACTGAACCCGGGAGCACCCCTCCCCTGGGCACCAGCCTGCCCGCCGACTGCTTGCCTCAGCGTGTGCTTGTCTGTCTGCCCGCAGTTTGCTGTAGAAAAGCTGACCGAACTAGAGCACTGGAAACGGGAGCTCCAGGACGAGGCCCACACCCTCATAGATTTTTTCTGCGAAGACAAAGAAACCATGAAACTGGACGAGTGCCTTCAGATATTTCGAGACTTTTGCACCAAATTCAGCAAAGCGGTTAAGGTACGGCAGATGGCATCTCTGTATTTTCTGAGTGGTTCGGGTTTTTATTTTTCTTCTTCCAGACTCAGCCAGCCCTCTGCCCATGGCAAGGAGATGGTTGAGCATTTATGGGGGTTCAGGAAGGTCGGGCGCCAGGTTCTTGGTCAGGATGAGGAGGAAGTGGTTCTGCCACCCCAGGCCCGAACGCTTCCGTATCATCAGGTGTCCAGCATGTGGGGACAGCGGTGGTGGGTGGTAGGTGCCAACATCTGCAACTCTGAGGCTCAGAACATTACCCACTTTAATGCCCTAAAAGCATTTTGTTGGTAAGGTTTATTTATGATGGCAGTCACCATATTGAAAAGTATTTTTGAAGATCCCGAAGGTCTTTTTCAGCCCCTCCCCAGGAGAACATATCCTTTGCCAGGAGACCTTGGTCGCAGTGGGATGACCATAGAGCCCTCTGTCACTGTTTCCAGCCCAATGGCCATCGCCAGGGGTTGGTGCCATGGGAACCAGGCTGTCCTTGGCCAGAGCCGACTTGGAAACGCTCAGATATCTAGGGAGGGTGCTCTGCTGTCTGAGTCCACCTTGCCCTTCAGCCATCAATTCCAGTCATCTCTGAGCTCATTGCAGAAGCCAGAAAACTCTCTGGGTTGCTTGGCTTTGTAAATAAAACTTTCATTTCAATGAAAAACAAAGCACCTCACCTCCCTCCCTTTCTGGTGATGATGAGAAACCTAATACGTGTACACCATCTCTTCCTCTATATTTCAAAAGCAGATTTGCCCGTAGCTGAGTTTCTTTGAGGGACTGGTCCAATTCTCTCCAGCCAGAAGTGAATAGGCCAGAGTTCCTTGATTTCTCGGTCCCTCCTTCCTCTGTCCAGCTAAACGAAGGAGGCTCCGCCTCTGGCCACGTTTACGCACCCTTGTCCCAGCAGTGAGCTCAGCAGGGGAAGCGGTGGTGGGTGGTAGGTGCCAGATTGGCTCTTGCTGAGGCCCTCACTCCCAGTCGGAATCCTATAGGCTCTCGGGGCCACCTGTGTGATGCTCTCAAGCCCAGCCGCCCCGAGAGCCAAGAGCTGGCCCCTCCCCCTGCACTGGTAGCCAGCCGGAGCCAGAGCCTCACAGACACTTGGACAGGAATGTCCTTTTGCAGAAATGGACCTTCAAGTAAAATGTGCTACCGATAACAGATTTGGGTGGTGATTTCCACATATTTCCATGACAGGAGTACATTCAAAGTGCACAGCCAGGCAGTAACGTGTGCTTGGTTGTGTGCATTTGTTCGGTTCCAGAGGACTGGTCGCTCGGAGCAGGGTGGAAGGTGGAGGATTTGTAAGGCAAATCCTTCTCTCTGGTTGTGGGAAGGGCATGGGGCACAAGGGACCGAGCCACCCTGGCATTTCTGGTGTTTGTTTGGTTTTTTTGTGTGTGTTTTTTCTACCAGGGAGCAGTCAGAGAACAGAGATTTGAAAAGCCTCTCGTAATATCTTGGGTGTATATCATTTATGCATCCATACCCCCACTAGGTAGAATGTGCTGCACAGGAGTGAGTGTGTGTGTGTGTGTGTGTGTGTGTGTGTGTGTACCCATGCAAGGACCACATGGGGTTTCCTTGGAGTTGAGGTCACAGGTACAAGTGGAGTCACAACCCACACTGCGGGGACAGTGCCTTGACCTGAAAGCTGGAAGTTGGGCCCAGGGATCTGATGACAACCTTAGATGGACTTTTGGGGCCAGAAGTAGTGTCTCCTCTGGTCACCCCCACGTAGCTCTGGAAGAACCTAGCCCCCACACACAAGGGCAAATGCACAGTCTCCCCTTGATGCCCATGGCCCAGTCTCTCCGCCATATATGTCTCACTGGGGTCTCAGGGTAGGTGGCTCTGGAATGGCACAGGGGTCCCACGTGTCTGATGCATCTTTGGGCTTCTCTCCACCCCTCGTTCAGGACAACCACAACCGGGAGGTACAGGAGCTGAGGCAGCTGCGGCGGCTGCAGGAGCTGGAGCAGAAGCGGCATTCCTGGGCGACTGGGGAGCTGGTGGGATTCGGCCGGAGCAGCAGTGAGAATGACGTGGAGCAGTTGGGCAAGAAGGGTGCGGAGGACCTGCCCCCCTTCCTGCACCGCAGGCCCATCAGCCCCTCCTGCCGACGCCCCAACACCCGCCGCTCCCGCCTCTCCCTGGGTGCCTCCGCTGACCGGGAGCTGCTGACCTTCCTGGAGAACTCCGTGGGCAGCCCCGAGGAGGCCAACAAATTCAACAGCTTGCCCCGGAGCAGCCCTCGGCAGGCCCGACCCGCGTCGGCCTGGAGGGAGTCTGGGGAGCCGAGGGACCAGGGCTCTGGCCGCACACACAGACCTCAGGCCTCCGCAGGCCAGGAGGGAGCCCCCGACCCACCCTCGGCTTCCTGTGGCCAGCTCCTCGCCCCCCAGATGGAAGACTCTGCTCCAGTTTTGCTCCGAACTCGGCGTAGCGGGCTCAGCATGCTCCAAAAGAGGAACAGCGAGCCTGTGGGCCTGGCGTCTCCCTGGTCCCCTCCACTCTCGCCACTGGCTCTGGGAATTAAGGAGCATGAGCTGGTGACCGGGCTGGCCCAGTTTGACGTCCAGGGTCCCAAGGACCCAGAGGAGACGCCCCAGCGGAGCCCTACCAACTTCAGTCCAGTGGAGCTGGCGTCTCCGGGGGATGAGAGCCTGCAACCCCTCGGAGCCGGCACTGGTGCTGGCATTGGTGCTGGCATTGATGCTGGCAGCGGTAGCCTAACGCCTGTGGGTACAGGTGCCCAGGAGAGTCTCAGCGCCCAGGAGAGTCTCAGCGCAGCCCTGCAGGGTGATGGGGCAGCTCCTGATGAGCCCAGCATCAACCCTGAGAACAAAGACCCTGGGCCTCTGTTCTACTTCTCGGATACCACCGACTGCTCGCTGACCTTGGACTGCTCAGAGGAAACCGACACCAGGCCTGGCGGTGGGGAGCTGGGGGAGTCCGGCCAAGGGGATGGCTCTGTGTCCTCTGGGGCAGGGGAGGCAGGTGGCAGCCAAGTGTCCTCCAACCCTCTCTCCAGCCCCCCTGGGGAGACCCCTGATCCTGCTTCTGCAAAGACCGGGCCCAGCTGCAGGGGTGGCCTTTCCAGAGACAGGTCCTCCAAAGGGAAGGAAGTGACCACACCAAAGAGAAACTCCCTCAAGGAGGCATCCCAGGGAGCCCCCAAGCCTGGGGCTGTCCCACGAGGCCAGGGGACGGCATCCAAGCCCGTGCGGACCTTGACCTCCTCGGAGAGCGAGAGCATGCGCAAGGTCGTGCCCATCTCTAGGGCCAGCAGGGGCTCCTCTGGCTGGAAGCAGCCTCCTCGGGAGCCCCCCAGTGGCACCCAGGAGTCGTGGTCACGCCGGAACTCTGTGAAGGGCACCTTGGACACGTCACCCAAGAGGTCCTCGAAGGGGCCTGGGGTGGTCGCCGAGGTGACCGAGGAGCAGGAGCAGAAGCCCCCGCGAGGGAGGGTCGGCTCCTGCGGCACCCGGCCGGGCAAGGAGCCCGCCCTGCAGCCCAGGGGCTCCCTCAAGAAGCCCAGCGCCAAGCCCCTCCGGAACGTCCCCAGACAGAAACCCGAGGAAAATAAGATCTGCCGCTCCAATTCCCAGGACCCCCAGAGCCCGGGAGAAGAGCCCAAGCCCCCTCCACCAACCCCCAGCGTCCCCCGTGTCCCGTCCCAGGTCCCAGGCTTTGCCCGAAACACAGTAGCCTCCTCATCTCGGTTCATGAAAACAGATTCTCTCCCGGTGACCAAAGCCCCCGGCCTCACGCGGACAGTCTCCCACCGGCAGCTGAGGATGAAGGGTGGCTCTGAGGATGCGGTCCCCAAGGACAGTGGCACCCTGCGGCGGTCCTACAGCTCCCGGGCCCCCAAAAAGTGTCCTGAGTCAGCAGAGGGTCCCGGTGCCTACACAGAGGCCTCTCTGAAGGGCAGAGGGACGGGGGAAAGGACCTCCTTCAGGCAGAAAGACTCCGGCCGGACCACACTGGGGAAAATCCTCCACCCCTTATGGAAGTGATGGGTGCCTGTCCCCCCTCACCTCCTGGCACATCATGTGGACTGACTGCTGTGAAAGGCCAACACCGAGTGACTCTTCTACATCAAGGGAATCATCGGTGCCACCTGCTAGTGCTCCTGTCGCTGAAGGTACACTCTGGGAGGCCTGTGGGCTGCCACCTGCAGTGCCGACTCCTGCCGTCGAGTCCCCATGCACCCCTGTCCTGGACCGGCACCTCCCGCACACACCCCAAAGTGTGCACAGGCAAACCCTCTACGCCAAAACAAAGACTCGGGCGTGTGAGATGGCATTCTTACGCAACAAGTAAATAAGGAATTTTGGCCAGTTTTTAGAAATCAGAGGCTTATTTTTCAGTATAAAAATTCAGTGTTTTAGTTGGTTCCTTTTGCAGAGTGAATGGAAAAAAAAAGACAGAAGAAAAACTGCTTTGTATGAAGATGTTTTCATCTTCCTGTGTCCTTGGCCTCGGGGTTCCACCTGCCTGCACGCCGACCATTGTGGCAACTCGGCTTCGCCATGAGCCCTGGGCGTCCTGTGGTTGCACCGAGTCCTTGAGACTCTTCCTGGCTCACCTCTCCCTGCCTGACTTGGGATGAGGGTTTGCGTGTGAGCAGGAGGGAAAGTGAGACTGGTGGGTGGAGACCGGTGCTCCTGTGGCTCCGTGTGGGCACCGTGAGCAGCGGGACGTGCGTTTTGGGGGCCTGTGGCCACCGGGAGAGCCTCCCTGCGGACGGGTGGCAGGCAGCCCCTGGGAGAACGCTGGATCTTTCAGGGTGTAGAAGTGCCATATTTTCATGGAACGTCAGGGGCTGTTCAGCAGATCACACCTCTCCCATCCCATGTTTTCGCATTTGTGTTTCTGTTGTACAACTGAGTGACGGCTGCTATGACTTGTGTTCGCTCTGGTTACAGGGGAGGAAAAACCTTTCTGTCTCCCAGTCTTTCTTCTCCGTCTTCCTTTGCTCCCAGCCCTTCTCTGCTCATGTGACCTGGAGTCAGTCAGTCTCTCTCTCTCTCTCTCTCTCTCTCTCTCTCTCAACAGTAATACTTACAAATGTTGACGTCTATTCTTTGGTACAGTGGTTTTGAAATCCTGAGAAAAACCAAATCAAGTTTTTAAAATCAGACTAAAAGGAAAATAACTGTTAGAAGAATTTGTATCATCAGGGACAATTTGGAATAAAGGCCTTCATTCAGTAGAAAGGTGGGTGGGGGACACTTTTTTCTACCCGGTTCCCACTTCACTATTTCCCTCTGAGACTACTTGGGAAATGGGGGAATTCTTGAAACGTTTTTGTTTTTTAAAAATTGTGCCCCCCCCCATTTTTGGTCACTTATTAGTGAAACCTCATTTCAGATCCAACAGTGGTAGACGGATTTAGGCAAATAAGATGTGGTACAGTCTCCCATACAATTTTGCCTCCCAACCAAATTAATTGGAAACTTGACTTCGATGAGTCCGCTAAATTGAAAGGGTAAACTTTATGGTAGAAGAAGTTAGGCACCTGACCACAAAACCTCTTACAGAATTAGCCCTGAGTAGGTATTTCCGGGGTTCCGCAGAGATGGTTAATGGGAATCCTGAGCTTTCTCACCATCTCAAAAAGCCTGAGAAATCATATATTTAACCATGCAGACCACAGCGGTCAAAACATAGGGCCCATGGGTAGATGGGAAATGGATGAAAGAGGTCAAAAGTTTGTGGATAGAGAGGGGGTCAGGACTCCTGGTGAGACTCTAGGGACCAGGGATTGAGTCCCTCCCTGTTCCACCGCTGATACTAGTACCTTGGGCAAGCCACTCCCTGTCCCTAAGCCTCTGCTTCCCAGTCTGTAGCAGTGGGGGCATGGCCTCCATGATGGTGTCCAGGGGTCCTTCTAGCTCCAACAGTCGGAGTCATAAACACCCAGGGACCCAGCTCTGCCCTGGGATCAGCTTCTCAGAACCAACCCCCCGCATCTCTTCAGCAGAGGCCTCCCGCAAAGGCCTGCTCAAAACACCTCCAGAATGAGTCGTCGCTTTGAAACCCACTCAGCCACTTTCCTGAGAAGTGGTGTTTTATTTTACTTAGCCCTGTGGACAACTTCTGTGTTTGCATCTGTACGAGCAGGTGATCATTCTATTACCTTTTATCGGTAGTAAGCTTGGACAAAATAATTTAAGTATATAATGGAGAAGTGTAAATAAGTTTCTATATGAAATTGTTTAAGATGAACAATTAAGATGTATTTAAAGGTCCATTTATATGTTCTTTTACGTAACACGTAGTTAAATAAAGTTCCTGTTTATGGGATTGTGTTCTTTCCTTGGTGTGTGTGTGTGGTGTATGTGTGTATGTGTGAGAGAGAAATCCTGGCAGGAGAGGAAGGCAGGATGCAGGAGGTAGGAGAGGGTTGGAATACAAGTCTTGTTCTCAAAAGGTTCAAGAACCAAAATTAGGCTGTTGGTGTGTCTCCTTAGTAGCAGAGAACCTGCGTTTAACCAAGGGCCTTGCGCCAGACCTGTGGGAAAGCAGGCATGCAGCTGACAGGCAGGCCATCGGTGGAATGTTCAGCACCTCGTACATGCTCACATTATTCCACGTTTGGGGCCAAGTTTTGTGTAATCTCCATGGGGCCGGCAAGTCTGGATCTGCTGCTGTGTGTCCTCGTGTGTTTTGGCTCAGGACACTATTGGGAAATCACAGCTCACTTCTGAGCGGCCTCAGGAATGAGCAGAGAGGGAGGAAGGTGAGGTTTTATTTCAAATGCAGGGTTGATGCTTCTTTGAAAGGAAAGGCGGGGGGCGGGGAAGGGGGGGTGTGTGAGACCCACCTCATACCTTGGGCTTTCATATCAGGTATTGGGCCTGGCTACTCTCTTGCTTTTTCTGGAAATGGTTAAAGGAATAGCCTTGGGTCAGGCACCCGTGGGTGAGAGCGTAGATGACGTCCTTGTGAGTTGCTGCTTGCCCGGTGACATTTAGAACCTGGCTTTGCCTGTTAGAGCCTTTTATTTTCGCAGTGGGTCTCAAGCAGTTTTCTTTTTACCCTCTTATTTGAGGGCTTTCACCAGGACCCTGTGGTGCAGTCCTCCTCTTGAAGATAGGTGTTGAGTTCAAAGGGACCACAGTTTCCTAATTGTTCGTTCCAGATTCTGAATGTTTATGTATTATGGTGAGAGGCTCCGGAATAGTTTGGTAGAGCTCTCTTTAAAAAAAAAATTTATATATATATATATAATTTCAGAGAGGAAGGGAGAGAGAGAGAGAGAGAGAGAGAAACATCAATGATGAGAGAGAATCATTGAACGGCTGCCTCCTGCGCCTCCCGTACCTGGGATCGAGCCCACAACCTGGGCATGGGCCCCGACCAGGAATTGAACCGTGACCTCCTGTGTCATAGGTCAATGCTCAACCACTGAGTTACACCAGCCGGGCAGTTTGGGAGGACTCTTAAGTCAACCTTCTGAGGTGTGCAAATGACCAACTTTTACCTCTAAGGGTGTGGAATTCCCCCATCTCCTCCCATCTGGCAATGGTGACATTTTGCAATTTCACAGAATTTTCTATTGAAGCTTAAACTTTATTCTTAATTCTTTATGATACTCTTGCCTCGTGCTCCAGTCTTGTAAAAAAAAATAAAAGAGATTTTTTGTTGTTGATATGTGTCTCCAAACACACATAAACGTCCAATTTGAGTAAGGGACATTGCATCTGGTTCATAAGTGCTTTTAAACAGTTATTTGTGCCCTGAGCACAAACAGAATGGGAGACCGTGGGTCTGCAAGTCATGCTACTCAGCATCAATGGGCTGAGCTGGGACTGACTCTGTGACAGGGTTGAAAACAACCCAGCGCAACCTCTCCCTAGGGCGTTTTTCACCTGCAAACATCTTCCAGTAAAATGTCCTCTGGACTCACTGGATCCCTCAGTGAAGATAAAAGCAACATTCCTGCCGTTGAAGATAATGGCTTTTCTGTCTTCCAGGCCAGAGCTCTGCAATGAGGCATTTGGCTTCCTGGTTGGTAGGTAGGAAAATTGGACCTCACTGCAAGAGCGATCAAGATGCCAAGCAGCCCTCACAATCTACTCATTCATGGGCCCTTGACTCAGAACCCACCAAGAGCCTGGCACAACCTGCCCGTTGGGCTATGGTACGAAGATGGCTGAGCCTCTTAATGAGGATGCTGCTTGAGGTCCCTATGGGTGCATTCATGCCCAACCTTTGGAATCTGGGCCTAGGCTTTGCCCCAAACTCCTCAGAGATATTCAAGGGCTGAGTCACCCAAGCACTCCCTAACTCACAGGCAGATGATGTTCCCCAAGTTTGCTTGCAATCAGATATGAGTTCAGAGTCACTTTCCCAGAGCAACGATGTCATGCATTACAGGTAGGTTTCCACAACAGCCTCTTGTCCGCCCGTGGTGGACTGTGGCACCGACGTTTCTATGGAAGAGAACCTCACTTGTAGCCGAGTCCCTAAGGAAAACACCAAGGTGCCGGGAACATTTCTCCCCTCCTTCAGGACATCAGGTAGAGGCTACAGCACTGCAGCCTGAGCACCAGTATGTCCACTGTCCACTGCTTGATAAGAAAAGGCCTTGCCACTCTGGAGGTCAGACACAGGGGCTCCCATCTCCTAGGCCACCTCCAGTGAATTCAGGCCATGTTTCTACCAGAGACTACCTGCCTCCTGTGCTTCCTCACAGAGAGCACACCCACCGGCCCAGCAGAAAGGCGTACACCCTCTGCTTTCAACTGTCCAGGAGGGAGGCTGGACTAACCACACTCCCTTAGCCTCCAGATCATCAGGGGGAAGGATAGCTGGGAGCTGGGTCAGTAGACCACTTCAGTGGGAGCTGGACATTCACTGCCCGTGGGGAGCTCTCCGAGGTGCCCCTGACTTCTGACAGCATGGGAGCATCTAAGAGCCCCCACTTTCCCACAGGGGGATGTACTCCAGTGTGTAACAGAATCACACACATTTCAGGTGGGTGATTCCCAGCCCCATCCCAGACCTAAACCAAGTCAGAATCTGGTAGGGCCCCCAAATTTGCATTTTAGGTAACTCCCCAGTGGTTCCTTTTTCACCCTGCTGTTGAGAACCAGTGGGCTGGAGCAAGGCCAGAGGCTGGGGTTCTGCTGTGGGGCTATGAGCTGTCCTCAGGCCCGAGCCCCTCTCTGAGCCTGTCAGGCCACACAGTGTCTCCTGGATAAGCGAGGCAGAGACTGGCTCTGACCTCAGCGCCGGGTCAGGGGGAGAGCTGCCTCTTTGGAACCTGAGCAGGTGGTCTAAGTTGCATCTTAAAACAGGAGTGCCTCCAGTTTATACTCTTGGCCACTCCCCGAGCCTGCAGTTCTGGGTGACGTAACATCCGAGCTTAAGAACAATGGCACCAGCGGGACATAGGAAGTGACACTTCATGAGACTTGCCATGGCTGCCCTTTCAGAAGATTGCAGTTCAGTATCTATGAAGCAATTTGCTAATAAGTGCTGCACAATGTCACACCCATCTGAGTGTCCACGGTGAGATTTTGTCAGCAGAGTTGCTCTTAGGAGCCCTGTTCCCTGGGTTTCCACAGTCTCCACCAGCATGACTTCAGCTCGGTTCTCAGGAGCGTTGCCTCAAGGCTGCGGTTCCTGCTCCCTGTGTGTCCTGGGGCCAGGCAGGCCAGCATCTGTGCTGACCTCACCGGTTAGGAAGGGGGTGGAGCGCAGCTCTCCAGGGTGCTGACTCAGTGAGGGCTGGGAGCAGTGTGCCGGCTCACGTGCTGCATTCAAAAATAAGGGCAGGAGAAGGGACGCTGGCGGGACCCTCCTACCCCCACCCTCATTGAGAGTGTGGAAGTGTTTCCAGGAAGGAGGACTGGGCCTTGGTGCTCTCCAAAGCTGTCAGCACGGATTAATCTACCTCTCAGCACTTCGGGCCGCAAACTGCTCTACATGAGACAGAGAAAGTTGCTGAGAGAGTCTGGACCAGTCTTACCACTTGTAGGGACAGCCATCTTGCCGGTTTGGGCAGGTGCCATAGAGGGGTTTGAGTTGTATTTGGATTCACACGATGGCTCAGCTCTGGAAGTTGCCCCGGCAGAAAGAACAGTGTCTCCATTCAGCTGTGGCTGAACAGAGACGTCAGCCTCCCTGGTCAGCTGTATTTTCCTCTTTCCCAGGGCACCAGTGGTTCCCACCAGCTGACTCATCCCAGGGAGGAGAGGGAAGAGGAGGGCTGCCTCCAGGGCAGGCTTCTTGCCGCCAATGAGAGACAGACAGCAGAGTGGCTCCCCACCCCCACAGGGCCTCCTACTCCTAAGTTCAGGTTTGACTCCAATACAGTAGACATAAGTCACTAGATAAGCCCCTGGACAAGATGCCCAGTGCTCCCAGCTCTTTCCCAAGGCCCTGCTTTTCTCAACCAGCTCATCATGGGTTGAACTCTGGCTAGCTATTTTCTCCCAAGAAACTCACAGCTTTGCAAACAGTTACTCAGCACACACTCACCATCCCAGTGGCCCAGAACTTGTCATTCCCACCTTTCAGTGGAGGAATTCATTCTGGGAGAGGCGAAAGGGAAGCGTGTGGGCCGGTGGTCTCCCGTGGCTGCCCCAAGCACCATTTTGGCCACAGTCATGGAACAATAGCACCCAACGTGAGGCCAGCTGGTCAGTCCACATCTGTCCAGTCCTCTGCCCGGGACACCTTACAGGACAAACCCTGAAGAGCTGGAGCATGATGGAGAAGAACGACGGGGACAGCCAAGACCTGCGCACCAGGCGTGCAGATGAGGCTGCCAGGGCAGTTCGAACTGTGAAAGGACAATAAAAACCTGGTGACGAGATGAATCTTCCTCTGTGCTGTTCCAAACCAAATGGAAGTAAGTCACCAGGGACAGGAGGAGTTCACTCCAAAGCTACTAGTCTGTCTCCTTGGAGGACTCTGGACCTGGGAAATGACAACCCGATATATTCCCAGCGAATGTTGGAGAAATGGATGGGCTGGGTGCCTGACCTCCACTGGCAGCTAGGCCATGTCCTGCTCTGCCGTCTATTAGCTGTGTGATCTTGGGCAAGGGGCTTCATACCTCTGCTTGGGAATCATAGCCCTATGTATCTTCGAGCAGTCCTGAGGGCTAGATGACTGTGTTAAGACAGTGTACGTATTTGCCATTTATCACTATTCTGGGTCAGAGCCCCACCTGGCAACTTCTCAGGGCAGTGGGTCCTCGCCTGGGCTCTGTCCCTATCTGGCTGTGTGACCTTGGACAAGTCACTGAACCCAGCTTTGCCTCTATTTCTGCTCCCTCTTCCAGCGGCATA